AGGGTTGATAGCTGATCTCAATCTTCTCTCATCAATGATTTGGATTCTTGATTTGATTCCCTTTGAAAACTTTCCAAAACTGGCCTAAAACCAATCTTTTTGTCCACCCTAATGCCTTGCACGAGTTTTAATATTTGCTAGCTGTAATTGAAACCTGAAACAAGCACAAAATCTCTTTCTTTCAATATTTTGGATCTTATATGATTTGTTTTGATTTAAATTGAATTAATTCAAATAAAAATAAAAATAAATAATAAAAATAAGATATGGACAAGTGGCAAAGGCTAGAGCTCGTGGACTATGTTGCCAACTCAAAACTAGTGAAAAAGATTGGGCCCATTTGGTAAAAATTGAAGTTTTAGGGATAGTTGACTTTTGGCCATTTTAAAGGTCAACTTCACCAATGCATAACTTCGTCAATTTTGAATCTTTGGAGGTGTTCTTGGACTTTTTAGAAAGCTTAAGATGTCCACTAAGCAACCATTTTGGTCTCATCTCAATTTGATATTCCATTCTCATGTATGAAGCTTTGACAAAAAATGTGTTTTTGTTGACTTTTCAAAATGACCTATAATGTCCAAATTCATAACTTCTTGTGAGTGCATATTTTGAACTTTGGAGATGAATATGGATTGTAGGTAATTGCATAATCATAAAAATTATCTTTGGATTGGTCATTTCTCATAAAGTATGAGAAAGTTATGCTTGGTCAAAGTTGAGTTGACTTTTCCTACAAAACCCTAATTTAGCAACTTTTGGTTCTTGAGGAATTATGAGCAATCCTTGATGAATCATGATCAACCCTTTATCAAATGATGAAATATACTTCAAAATGAGGATTTTGACCAAAAATATTGAAGTTTGACCGTATGTGGGCCACAATTGACTTTTGCCCTGACACAATCGATTTTCAGGCCTTTGAGCAATTGACTGAGCAAACTTTCTCTGTAGGGCTTGAAACTTGATATGGATGATCTTGAGAACATATTAGAACAATGTTGAGCATTTGGGGTCACTTGGACTCAAGTATCTTGATGCAACATGAAACCCTAATTTGAGGTAGACTGTCTTAGGAGAGGGCTTATCTGGTCAACCCTTGGACTTCCTTGAGCAACTTGAGGATATTTCTTGAAATGTTTTGAGAAATATGGGAGGGCAAATTTTGGGGTACAACAGCTACCCCTGTTCAATTTTCTTAAACCTGATGATGTAGATTGGCTTATCTGCCTTTCGTAATCTGAAGGTGGAAGATGATTGAACACTAGAGTGCCCAGAAATTTGCACTCATATAATGTGGTATCCATCTTGTGATGTCGGGAATGGGCTTACAGATGCCATTTGGAAATTGCTTGACGGGGGGATGGGCTTAAAGATGCCACCCTAAGGAGTGTCGATCGCATAAGAGATTCCTTAATGAGAGTTTGTATACCCGTTGTTGAGGAAGATTCCACTGGGGAAGGCTGATCTTTGTTGAGAGAAGTAGAATTTTAGGATCTTTGGTCGTCCGTTATTCTGCTGGTGAATCGTCTCTGTTTGAATTTTAGGAACTTCGGTCGTCCGTATTCTATTGAGGAATCATCTCTATTGAATTTTAGGAACTTTGGTCATCCGTTATTCTGAAGAGGTGAAAATGAATTGTTATTTGGTCGTAATCTAGGCTTCATAGTAATAAGACCGACTGTCATCTGGTCGTAATCCAGGCTTTACAGTGACTTACTAGGGAGATGAGATTAAACTTTCTATCCGGTTGTAATCCGGGTTTCGCAACTTCTCAATTCTTATCTGGTCATAATCCAAGTTTCAGAATTTCTCAATTCTTATCTGGTCGTAATCCAGGTTACAGAAGGAATTCAAATGTTATCCGATTGCATCCGGGCTTTAACTTGAATTTAGGGCACACTAATATCCGGTCGACTCTGGGCTTCTTAGTAATTGTCTAGGTAAACTGCTATTCGGTCGAAATCCAAGCTTCGCAGGGTCTTGTACTGCTATCTGGTTGTAATCCAGGCTTCAGTCCTTTTATCGTTATCCGGTCGTAATCCAAGCTTCACGATACTTTTCTTCTTATCTGGTTGTAATCCAGTCTTCAGAATATTTTACTCCTTATCTGGTCGTAATCCAGTCTTCAGAAGATATCAAATGGTTATCCGGTCGTAATCCGGGCTTCCCTTTAGCTTTGGGCCTACTAACATTCGGTCGTAATCCGAGCTTCATAGTATCTGGCTGGGTGAACTGCTATTGGTCGTAATCCAAGCTACATAGTATCCCTTATCTGTTATCTGGTCGAAATCCAGTCTTCACAATACTTTACTTCTTGTCTGGTCGTAATCCAGTCTTCAGAAGAGATCAAATGGCTATTCGATCGTAATCCGGGCTCCCCTTTGGCTTCGGGCCAACTAACATCCAGTCGTAATCCGAGCTTCATAGTATTTGGCCGGGTGAACTGCTATTTGGTCATAATCCAAGCTGCACAGTATCCTTTATCTGGTTGTAATCCAGGCTTCACAATCTCTTTTACCGCTATCTGGTCGTAATCCAGGTTTCACAGGAACTTGTATTGCTGTCTGGTTGTAATCCAGGCTTCACAATAATTTGCTGAGCTGTTATCCGGTCGTACTCTGGGTTTCACGGCTTGCTGATGATTTAAACTATTGTCCGGTTCAATTCGGGCTTCATAGCTTGCTTTTAAGAGATACCACTATCTGGTCGTAATCCAGGCCTTGCGGTAGTCTGATACTGTTATCCAGTCATAATCCGGGCTTCATTATATGTTGTGGGAATCAAGATACTATCCGGCTGTACCCGGGTTTCATAGCTTGAACTTTTGTGCGAATTTGATTGTATATTTCCTGAAAGGTAAAGGTTAGCTGTATGTAATGCATGATATGTGTCAAGCAATGATGTTCTCAAAATAAGTGAGATTATGTTGTCTGATGCGTATATGTATGTCATGATGTATGGATGTGTAATGTTTTCTGATAATCTCTAGCTGGGGAAAATAAATCCCGGGCCGCTGCTGGAGAGTGCAAGACGTTTGAATTCTTCGTTTTCACTGTGAATAGTGAATGAAGATGATTGTGAGAATGATCCCGTAGGAGAGAATACTCTGCTGGGGAATAAACTGATGAGGAAATGACTCTGTGGGGAGGACATATTCTGCTAGAGGACCTGTTGGTTTGGAGAAATAAACTCGGTTGGGCATGAATCTTCATTATTGGTGATAATAAACTATGTTGGGAATTGTGTTTCTGTTTGTGAAAGGAATGAACTCCGCTGGGGATGATTTTCCAGTTGCGACTTCACTGGGGATAATCTTTTAGACTCTACTGGGGATAATCTTCCAGAGTCTACTGGGGATAATTTTTTTCAAACTCCACTAGGGATAACTTTTCATACTCCGCTGGGGATAATTTTTCAGAGTCTACTGGGGATAATTTTTTCAAACTCCACTGGGGATAATATTTCATACTCCATTGGGGATAATTTTTCAGTGCTGATGGTAGATAAACTCTGCTTGGGGAGAATATTACCGATTCACTTGCGATTGCGAGCCTCAGCTGGGGAGAATTCACACCACTGTCTTTTTCTTACTCTGCGGGGAGTGAATGTTCCTTCAATCGTTTTCTCCAATTGGGTCTATCCCTATACCTGGTAGATAGAGCAACTGTACAGTTTGAACATTTCTTATTTGCCCCTGTTTCTGATATTACAGGTAATCGTCTCTTGTTTCGCATGTAAACATTTATGAGCAGCAATTAATGTCAAATGCATATATCAACAATGAACATTGGACGTTCTTGCAAAACAAAATAGAAAAAGGAAAACAATTTGAAATTTCTTTATGAAAAATGAATTGTATTGATTTTGAAATTAGCCTGTAACTAGGCGTTTTTTGTACAAGAGGCTGACGTCCTAGTAAGAGAACACCGCTGAACAATAGAGTTTATACAATTTATGAAAAACAAAGAAAAACAGCTATGTGAACAATCCCACTGGGTTCCAACTCTGCTATTGCCTTTATGTCCTCGAGCATCACATCACTTCGCTACTTAGTCGAAGGTGGATCATACTGATTAGCGCCACTACAAGAAAATTGGCAGATTGCGACAGGTATTTTTGTAGATTACGACGGTTAAAACCGTCGCAATTTGCTTTCCACGACGGTTGCTTTACCATCGCAGAAGTGTGTGTCCCCAACCTATTTCGCGACGGTTACAAAAACTGTCGTTCAAGTTTACGACGGGTTGATACCGTCGTGACTATCTTTTGAGTTTCTTTTAATTATTGATGGCGACGGTTCGATACTGTCGTGAATATCTTTTGAAATTGATTAAATTGTTTATGGCGACGGTTCGGTACTGTCGCCATGACTTTTGTTTATGTCTTGATTTTTTTTTATTTTTCTATTATATATATTTTTTATTTAAATTATTATCTATGTAAAAAATTTTAAATATAGTTTTTTTTTGTGTTCTTTTTTTCTTTAAATTATTTCTTCTTTAATATATTTATTTATAGTATTATTTTTTGTTTTATTTTCTATCACTTTGTAATATAGTAAAAATAATTTCAATAAAAAATATTTAACATCAAATAAGCATTATAATATCCAAAAAAATGTGTGTTCCATAATCATGTAAAATGCGAGTTCCATAATCATGTCAAGTAGTACAAAAAACCCAAAATATATCAATTCCTAATCTTATAATAATAAGTATCATTATGCCAAAAATACATGAGAAAGTTCACAATCTAATTATCTCGATCATAGCAAAGTCTAATTTGTCCCCCCTGAAGTTCCATTATCTCCAATACGGTAGCTAGACTCAGATGAACGTCTACCATCAGCGGGTGATTCCAATCCCTAAAAAAAGTATTAAAATAATAATCTTTAAAATAATACTCATAAAATTTAACTTTAAATGCGTCAAATTAATATATCTGTCTTCCATTGGAATAGAGTTAGCAGTACCTCATGTAAAGGAAGGTTCAACCCAAGTTCAGACGAAGTTGATCGCAAATTGGCAAATCGTCGTAAATCCCTTTCGGCTATACATGGAAGGATACTCAAACAACAGATATGAGTGATTGAATGCTGTTAGTTTTCCAAAACCATAGTCTCTATCCCTGAAAATACTCCAAACTGGAGGTGATGCAGTGAAGTCTGATAAATGACTCCCCCCTCCACCAACAACCACATGAATTGTTCCATTCACAGTGCCAGAATAATGATATTTTTCCTTATTCACACATTGGTTCTGATAAATGGGGCAGACTCTTTCATAGTTATGGACATGACCATAAAATGCAATGTCTACTTTGTACTTCTGCCATAGCCCTTGCAAACTTTCCCTTCCCATGGGCTCTTCAAATGACCCTTCCATGGCATACCAAGAGTTAGAAGAGTAACCGAGGGGGCGATGTGCTGCAAAGATTAACCATGGTTGTTGTTTTCGATCTACCGTTGCAAGACAATTCTCAATGAATTTGTATTGTTATGATCCTTCTCTCCAGTCATGCTCACTGTCTGCTATACAGAAACGAAACATGCCGTAATCTGTTGCATACCAGAATTTGGCTTTGTTCTCAGCAGGGTAATAGTACATGGTTTCTGCAGGAACTCCACATTCTCCACCAGAATCCGGAGTGTTGAAGAATGATCCAGTGTTTGGCCAATCACGTTCATGATTTCCAGTGCATTATGAATCAACGTTAGTAAACTCAAATGTCAATGGAAAAAACGAGTTCAAGCACAAACAAACCTTGCTATCATATATGGAACTGTTGAAGAAATTTCTTGCACTTGAGCTGTGAACTGGTCCCACTGTGAGATGTATCCATTTGCATATGGAAGATCTCCTATGTGGAAAACAATGTCAAAGTTGTCTAAATCCTTGATGAGTTGGTCTGTGGTGTTAAGGGAACCTGGTTGATAATCAGCATATTCGTTTGAACCATCACGCTCAGCCTAAAGAACATGCAAAACGAGATTAAGTATTTTTCTCCAATCTCTCAATTGTAGTATTAAGCATGCTTCATACTTTAAATATTCAATGCTACCTTTCCCATGTCACCAAATATGATTACACGTTGCAATGATTTTTGTCCAGGATATGGAGATCCCTTGAATGAATACCTCTTGCTCCATACATACGAACCGTCAGACAAAAAATGTCCCAACCTATAGGTGTACCTGATGGAAAAACAAGAGAGGTTGCTAAGCTTTAAGAATAAACTCTACCAACCATTTTTAGTGACATAAACTTTAAATCTAGATCTAGGGTTCTATCAAGGACAAACACAAAACTAAATTCAACTAAAGAAAGACATAAAATTTGTGATAATTCTCTCTAACTTCTCCATTCAACAGCAATTGTTTAAATACAACACCCACATAAAACCCTAATGGGTCTAAGATATGGGCCAGACCAACTTGAAGAAAATACAATTAAACATAATAATCAGTTTTAGAGAGTGTATTGCTGCTAACACCTCTGATATTTTGTTAATAACTAGATAACCCTGATACCTGACTTATCAATATGTCACAATGGTTCCAATGAAATCCAAAGTAACTAAGAATGCATCTCTCAAACTCTTCCACCAACTTGACATAAAGTGAATCAGCATCTGGTTCATTCTCAAAATAGGCATATATATCATCTTCAAACCCTTCATATTTGCTTATGTATTCAGAAGCCAATCTACATATATCAGGACCGATTCTCCTATCCTTGAACCCCATTTGCCTAGCTGTAACAAATCAAAGAAAATGACATATAGATTCATTCCAATTTCCAAATGATAAAATAATAACGGATCCATCAATGTATGTAATTGAATAGAATACATATTTTTTTGTATACCTACGTAATGAGAGAATCTTTCAAGCTTTGGGGGGTGACCTGCACGCGATAATCTTAAACACGGAATGATCTTTTGATCTCGAATCTTTTTGAGATGATAACGCAATGCTATGAAAAATATCAACCCAATAGATGAGATTACCAAGATCTGTGTAAAGCTGGGTTTAGCATCATAATCTGAATCAACATTGGATTGTGTGATGTTAATATAATGTCGAATATTTGTAATGAAGGAGTTTTCCAAACTGGCATAGCTATAATAAAAATTCACCCTTATCGTATTTCCACTTCAGGATTAAGAGGAGGAGTTTAGATATAGAAATTTGTTCATGCTCAAGTTCTGATTGAACAAGGATTGTAAATAATGACGCCATAATCGTTGACAGACCAGGCTCCCATTGCAAACCGAGATCTTTCTGAACAGAACACAATCGCCTTGAGAGTTCAATTATGGGCTCATAACCACCAGAGTGCCACTGAAGACACGTCAACAGAGACAGAACTGTTCCCAGGAATTCAACAGCATGTAGTTGAACCTCGACAATCAGCTATTAACAAGGATCAAGATCAATACAAGAGAAAGGCATAAATTACATTAATAATAATCAAGGAAACTAAATTATGACAACAGTGAATACAAATGTGAACATTAAATTACAAGGACGATACATACCAATTTCTCTCCGGCCAGAGACTTAAGTACCACTATATACACCTCCACCATATGTTCTACAACAAATACTAATTTCCTATAGTCCTGAGGAGTCCCAAAAAGAATACAGCTATAAGATAATTATATCATTTCACCTACTACAGTAACAAAATGTAATGACCAGAAAAATGTGTAATTTAACCAATATTTCTGATGCTCCTTCTCAATATTAATAAACTTACTTCAGAGGTCTCATGTGGAAGATACTTAAGGCACTCCGTTAGCAGCATAAGAACAGGCATGGACTCACTCGGACACGAGCAACAGAATGATGCCATAGACGATACCAATTGCAATCCAAATGAAGAAGAGGGTGACTCAGAACCTAACAATCTTATGATCGAAAAATCCAGCAAGGGCTTTAAAAACTCACAAACTTGTACCATACCCAGATGCTTATTCTGTAACATAAACAGCAACACTTGTTGCAGGAGTTCAGACTGAACTTCCACCCGACAGGACAACATCTGTCAAACATCAAGACACAACAGTTAAATTAATAGTTCAATAACCATACTCAGAAAAAAAAAACTTGCTTCTGAAACTAAATTTACTTTTCCAAACGGACTCAAATAATTCACCAAACATATCACAAAAACTCAATTTCTGTGGTCAGAGTATGGAAAATCAAACATGCTCTCAGTTTGCTTGCACACCAAGGTTCAATTGTTCAATAAGTCATTTCTTGGTATGCTTTCATGTAAATTAAAAACACCTTCACAAACTTTCACTCATACATTATATAGCACCGACACTTCAGATGAAAGGCGTGTCTGGCATTTCACGAATATCATTTGGAATACTTCTATTTTCAGTGTTTCATTTCACATTACATTCTGTTATGATGCAGTAGCATCTATGTATAGGCACAGCTAACCATAACTAACTCTCAAATATCATAAACAAAAAATCTGTCATGATTTTTCAGGTCATAGAAACATTCCAAATTAGGCAACAATGTTATTTTCAATAATGATTGAATCATTAATACAGTGAGTACAGAATCAAAATCCTGTCAGATTGCAATGTCATTGATGAAAAACTTCCAGAAAATTATTACTCACCTTGAACCATGTTGGATCTGTGCAGCTTTATTCTTTGAAATGAAGTTGGTCATTTTCTCATGCTTGGCAAGGCCATCAAAATCACTAGGCATTCAGGTTGCATAACTAACAAAAAGTAGACATGATTCACATAGTAGATCCTAAAGCCTAAACAATAGATACTAAACAAAAAATATCTGAACATACATCGGCAATATGTGCATAACGAAGTTCAAGCCATATAGGATCATGATCTTCCAACAGAACCTCTTTTCTCTCAGGTTGACCACCATTCTTGCCAGGAATCTAGAGAAAAAGTAGATTTGTGTTAATATAGTGGGCACAATTTTAGATGGAAAAAAGAGAAATTATGGAATACCTCGTGAACATATTTATTTCCCTCCATATTCAACAAATCATGGCACATTGCATCATAAGTCCACTCGTGTATCAAAGGAGCAATCTATAACATCCATGAAAAGAGATGAAATCATATAATTCCAAGTTTATCATCCCAAATCTATAAAATATAAAGCAGCATAACACCTTTGGGATGCAACAATTGATGAAACAAAGTAACATTATACAACAATACTCACAGTCATGAAAGAAAAACTAACAAATTAGGAATCTAAGGCTTCCAAGTATAAAAATTCAAAGATGAGTAAAAAATAGATAGAATTCAACATTAATCAGACTACCAACGACATTTTTATCTGAATAAAAATCGGTGAAAATCATCATCACAAACAACACAAACTTTTCTATCATTTTAACTTGATATTGTCTAATAATCAGACTACCTTTGAGAACAAAGTAACATATTCCCAAACTCATCTACAACACATATGTACATATCGCGTTGTAGCATAATTTAAAGATAAAAATGAACAGAATAAAAGGTAAATAAAAACCTTTGCTACTATGGTCAACCACAAGAGCTTTAACATTATGTAACCATTATATTATGCCCACTGCCTGACAGGATGGATTTAGGGTTCAATATGAATATCATCATCGCCTCAGAATCGACACAACTGACCATGCAAACCTACGTCTTTCCGAGCTTAATTTAACCTGACAAATACATCTGTGACAGAGTAAACAAAAAAAGGAAAGGGACTTATGTTAAAATTAAGCAAAAATAAAATTATCACTTAAAGAAAATTATGAAACAAGAAAATAATCACAAGGCATGCCCGGAAAGTCATAGAACAAAGCAGTCTTTAAATTGAAGGAATCTAGCTTAGTGGCTGATATTTCGTTCCAGACAATGCCATTGGTGTATGGATACAGATCACATTAATAGTATCATGGTTCAAATGAAGTTAGGGTTTTATTTGTGGCATTATTCTTACACTATTCCCTTTGCAAAGGAAAATGGTGATGTTATCAAAGAACAATAACAAGAACCCACCTCTCACATCAAAAGTCATGTTTCCATTCGTTTTGCTCTCGCCTACATTAAAACAACCTTTGTGAATAAACATCCCACATTCATTGCTTCAACATCAATCCGCTTCCATGCCCAACCAAACAGCAATCCCTTAATCACCTCTACAACACCATCATCTTATAAAACATCTATGGTGAAAGCTTCAAAAAACTAGCAGCCAATATTAGACCTTTACAACAATGAATACCCATTACCATCAACACAATACCCATGAACTACTCAAACTCCAACCACTAGAGGCCTTTACAATGCACCAACCTTGTTACCATCAACATACCCCATGAACCACTCCATTTGAAACCAACAACACAATACTTCACTACTTTCTTTCTCATCAAGTCATTCCAAAATCACCATCACCAAACTCATTGTCCTTTTACCTTCATCTACACACAGTTGCACTCAGGCTACAACCCATTGCACTATGTTCTTTACACCCCCTATACTGCAAGACAAAACCATCACATCAGCATTTCTATACCCCAATTACTGCTACTATCAAGCTCTACAATCTATCGAGAACACAGCAACAATGAACTACCATAAATTCATTGCTATCATAGAACCACCAAAACATTTTCCCTCATCCCACTCCATAAATTTCATTGC